GTGTTTTTTCTTGCAGTTTAACCCTAGATCCTTCCGTGGCTCTGTGAACGGCACTAGGATTCAGTGCATTTTTGTAGCTGCAGGTCTCAGCAGCATCACCCGTGCGGCAAACACAAATACTTTCCTCTATTTCTTCACTGGCAACTTTACAAATGGTGAGAGCGACGCTATGAATGAAGACCTAAAAGAGATTTCAGTTAGTAGCAAAATTAAAATGTTTTCATTTCCACAGGCACTCTGGGGTCTCCAGTCACACGAATGTCTACAAATTCATCGGTTGATCTGACCAACACTAACAGCTCAGACGTTGCCATAATAACACCCACTACAAACACAGACTCTGAAACTACCACTACTACCGTTTCTACTATTGCGACAACGACTACTACAGCAAAACCTGCTACTACAGCAGGGAGCAATGCACTGCATCATGCTGCATCACAGGGTAAGAATTCGATACGGTTAAATCAGGGCAATGTCTTATAGCCTGGCAAAATCTGCATTTTCACAGAAAATATCTAGCGTGTTAAAAAAAAGTGTGACACAAATGACTAGTCTTTAGTTGCTAAATGCTCTTATTTGAAATGTATTGGTGCATGATATGTATTTGCACAACAGACGGAACAGGTGTACAATACAGGAAGGTTTCTGACCTCTATAGCCTATAGAAGTAGTATAATTTTTGCGTCATGCTTTCCAAGAGTCAGTTAGCGGAGCAAAAAGTTTATGATAGTTTATAATTCTTCTTTTCGTTTCAGCTGCTCTGGTAATTCTCTCAGGGATCCTTGCAGTCCTCCTGTTGTAAGGATGCTGCCCACACATTTGCTTTCTGAAACTGGTCGATGAGCACTGGACGCTTGATGAACCCACCGCCAAAGTATATGTAATTCAGCATATTTATAACTGTGCAATATAGCGTCTCTGGGAACAATGAAGAAAGGAGCTGAAAATATGGGGAAGAGGGCAATACATCATTTATTTAATCTGTGTGTTTGTGTGAGAGAGATTGTGTTTATGAATGTATTTTGCGAGCGTTAGTGTTTGTATTCTGCTAATGTACTGCTATTTAAAATCAAGCTCCTGCACAGAGAGGGCTGATCAAAATTATAATCAGTCTGTTCATTTAATTGTGCATGTGACACCATCAAGTGGCTGAAAATATCTAAGATAATTGTTTTTAAATGTATTAATTTATTCTTACTTATACCTCAAACTATTGATTGTTTTAAATAAAGTTTTAAATAAAGTCAAATGTTCTTTTCTTTCTTTTATTTGTTTTTTTAAATATGCATAAAATGTTCAAGTAAAAAAGGAAACTGGTAGATCAGTGTTTGGACTAAAGGTTAAAGTGGCAAAGAACAAAGCTAAATGCAAACAGCATGCATAGTTAGGATAGTAAATTAGTGAAACACTTCCCATATTGTTGGTCAAAGGCTGCACACGCAATCAAGCACTACGTTTTTTTTTAAGAAACATTTATGACACTTGGAATTAGACGCAACATGGACAGGTTGTGACATTCTCTCATGCTCAAAAACTATGAACAAAACCCACAAATCGATCAAGCATGTTTATTTTTAAATGATTAATCATTTTAGTACTGTTGGGTCGCCAAATTGTGGACAGATAAAGTGCTTACTATTCAAATCACGTTAAAGGGGATGCAGTAGATTAACAATATTTTAAAACTGTTTTAAAATAGTTTAAAACGGTTAAATCTGTTTTCTACCATCCTTCACTGAGAAACAAATGGTGTAGAAACAATTCTTACTAAGAAATTGGTTGTAAATTATACATTTAATTATAAAGTAACATTGAATTAAACATGACATTTTGAAGTAGAATTACTGTAATAGTATTTTCTTTTTTACTCCAATATTTTTTTTTATTCAACTTTGACATTTTTTTTTCAGTGTTCTGATATTTTGATGAGTGTTTTGTAAACGTTATAAAAAGAACAACTTAAAATACAGATGCTCTACTGAAGAGAATAGGACAATCATTCAGATTTGCATATCGGTCAAATATTCAATTTTAAATATCCTATATTATTCTTGTTTTGATGTTTGGTCAAACATCTGAATATGTTATCTTCTGAACACTAACAGTATTAAAAATACACAAAGTACTTAAGTACTTGCACTGTAAAAACCTTTGTGGGTGAATGATTCCAACACTTCAGTGGATCAACTTAAAAGTTTATCATCCAAGAATCGTTTTTGGTCTGATTGCAAACTCACTGGTCCTTTTTGATCATCAGCATGTCACATTTCATTAATCTCTATCACGTGTCATTTTCTTAGCTTCTTTCCACAAAAAAATGACATCCACATTATTTACATAGGCAAAAGAATGTACGCCTAGTCAAACGAACTGCACAAACAAGTGCATCAGGGGCAAGAAAAACACTGAGCAGACATTTGTAGAAATAAGCAAGTAAGAATTGTAGCAGATTAATATTGGTGGAGCTTAAACATGAAAAATGCAAAACACATGATGAGCTGTTGCTTTCAAAGCTCAAGATACCAGTACAGATGAAATCATAGTGTGCTTCCTCACATGCTCGTGCTCTTCTGAGTAAGCAATTTGAGAACATTTACATTTACATTCAAGTTCATGATTTTTTGGAACAGGCCTTCTAGGCAAATGACTCGAAGAAAACTCAGTGAATAAGAAAAATATTCTAAGAAGTGAACAGCAGTAGATGTAGAGGCAAATGGCAAAGAGGGGCAAAGATTTACTACATTGCTATATGATCAACTAAAGATTCAATATCATCAGAAACAGATCTTCTCCTCATGTCAGAACATATGCAGGACAGTGTTTGTGTGCTTTCAGGTAGTTTTGACAGACAGATTTCATGCATAAAAAAACAAAATGCAAATGTATGTTGATCTTGAGATGTCCATAAGATGGGAAAGAAAAGACAAATTGAAACATGGCAGGTGCAACAACATGCAGTAAGACAGATCTAGACTGAGAAACTCTCACATGAACCACTTCTGTTGCACCGTTATGATTTTTTGTTATTTCGGAGCTTGACAGCTTCAGTTCTCATTCACTTCAAAACCTCATCCTTGGTGTTTCACTGAAAGAAAGTCATACAAGTTAGAACGACATGGAATAACGACACAGTTTAAGTTCAAATGTGGTGGCACTGAATTTGAATACAAAAGTGAATACAAACCTTAATGTAGTTCAGGAAGATTGTCCCTCAGTTTTCTCTCAGGAGAGGCCAGCTGACAAAGAGTTTGGTGGATTTTGCTATTGCTGTTTATATGTAACATTCAAGGTAAGCATGTCAACATGAACTTCATCCTTTGACTTGCTTCAGATAAAAGTGCCCGCCACAATTTCAATAGCATTGATATTTTGATATCATTAATCACTAAACTGAATTTGCAAGTTATCATTATTTTCAGTGAAAATTTTGTTACTAAAATATGGAAAATACTGTATTTTTGTGTGTGTTTGTGTCTGTAAACATTTTTCCAAACATTTTCTCTCTAGTCAGAGATAAAAGTGGGAGGAGAGACAGGATGATGTGACTCTGATGTAACGTTAAACTAATGTGTTTCTCTCAGGAACAACATTCATTCAAACTTACTCAAATGAAAGCAGAAAGAATCACGAACCACCTGAAATGAACTTGAGGGATTTCTACAAGAGTCTGTCGTTTTTACTGGGTAAGTAAAACACAATCTGTTTAATATCTTAGTGACCTACAGTCTGCTTTCAGCTTCATCTTTCAGACAGAGAAACACTTAACAGAAGACCCTCAATTACAATTTAATGTGTTATTCTTTTTTTAATGTTATCTAAATACCCTTAAACATGCAACAACTGGCATTTTTTTAAAGTATAAATCTAACATAATACAGGTTTATAGTCATAAGAAAAAATAATTTACGTTCTAAATAAGTGGGGAAGTCGTGGCCTAATGGTTAGAGAGTAGGACTCATAACCCAAAGGTTGTGGGCTTGAGTCTCATACCGGCAGGGATTGTAGGTGGGGGGAGTGAATATACAGCGCTCTCTTCCACCTTCAATACCACGACTGAGGGGCCCTTGAGCAAGGCACCAAACCCCCAACTGCTCCCCGGGTGCCGCAGCATAAATGGCTGCCCACTGCTCTGTGTGTGCGTTCACTGTTGTGTGTGTGTGCACTTTGGATGGGATAAATGCAGAGCACTAATTCTCTGGTCACATGTCACGTCACTTTTTTTAAATACTAAGCATCATTCTGTGTTTCTCATTTCAAGGGTTTTTCTCAGTTCAAACAAAGGCGCATCTTTTGTTAGTGAGTTTGTGCTGCTGTGAAACATTTTCAGACACATGATGAAAACTCATGGACTTAAATAGCCTGGCAGAACTATAAATATGTGTAAAACATAATTGCAATTGTAAATAAGGTTTTCTCTTGAACTTATTCCAGTGAACATAGCAACATGGGGAACAGCCGATCAGTCGACATTACATGACCACTGGTATGCCCAAAATGCTCTGGATGGGAAAAGCAACACATGTAGTTGTACTACGACACAAACCAACCCGTGGTGGAAGCTGGATCTGATGAAGACGTTCAACGTGAACAGAGTGACCATCACTAACAGACTCTACTGCTGTGACAGCTGGATAAATGGGGCAGAGATTCGGATTGGAAATGTTTCTTCAAATGTTTTCAGCAACCCAGTGTGAGTCTCTCTGATATATTCTTATAGACAGATTCTGGCCAGTTGGTCAGTAGCTTCATAAATACATACTTACAGGGCATATGCTATGTGGGGAGGAGGGGAGCTCTGTGGCAGAGGCGTAGCAGCCATTTTAAAAGTGGGGGGACCGCTGTCAGGTGATGTGACCCTCAACGGCCAAACAAATTATGTACATAATACACAAAGTAAGTACATTCATGTTCATATAATGTATATAGAATACCAATTGCCATGTTTAGAGCACCCTAATGGCAATTTTGGGAGACTTGATATCTTACAGGAAGTAAGACAGCTTACAGGGACCTATTTTTTGTGATCTCATACTCATAAACCCTAACTCTAACCCTAAATTAAAAATAACTTTTAAAATTGTATTAAACAATTTGAACATAAAATGAAAAAAGAAAAGATAATAATTATATGGGAGTGGGTGGGATACAGTCTAGATATTTAGACTGTAGATATTGTTATTTTAACTATTCAACTTATTGCAGTTTTGTTGATATATGTACACTGAAAAAAGAGCAATATAATGCTTTCATGGGCAGCCTATAGCGAACCATAGAATATCATTAACTTTCACAACAAAATAAATTTTTTTCTTTACTGAATAGTAAAAAACTGCCCTCTTTTGTTCCCTTTTAATATGCATAACGTCATCTGCATATCATTTCCATGCATATTTCCATCCACGTGACACCATGTTTAATGCAGTTAAGGGTAGCCTACAACACTTTAGAAAAATATGAGATACAGACTATAAATGCATTTTGAGACATCACTATTCTAGTTTATGCAATTTGCCTAAAAGGTAAATATATATTTTAGAATGTTTATAGCATAGTAATGGAAAGAGATAGGCCTTATTTTTTGCTGTGTAAATAGCTGTCTGACTCACTGTGTCAATAGCAAAACATTTTGAAAACAAAACGCGCATATCTTAGAGTTTCCTTCAAATTCTATCTTTTAAATATGGTGTTTGTCAGAATATTGGGAAGAGCATGAAAGGGGTTATCATTAGGCTACTGTCTGTGCGCGACACCTGTGAACAGTCCTACTGTCATCGGACCTGTTCAAACCAGCCAATGGACTGTTTGATCAACGAGCGCATCCTTATGTCTGTCGTTATCGCCTATGTTCCAAAGCCATCAGACAAAGTCAAGTTCACATCAATGATCATTATTCGTGCAAAAGTATTTTTTCAGAACATGAGTTTTGCTATTTAGAACACAATTTAATAAAGTGGAATTGTCATACGCCAAGCAATCCTTGCTGTGATTAAAACATTTAATCGCATAGCCTACCACAGGAAAATTTTTCCTGAAAGCAGCACATCCTCTGCAAATATTTCAATTCATATAAAAATTTGGTAATTTCTGGATTAGAATTTCATGAAATTTCAGTGCTTAACTTCATTATTAAGAGTGTCATATTTCATCTAAATGTGTATGTTAAATGTATAACAGATTTTAAAATATTTCTGTTTGCTT